AACCTCCCCCCTCTTCCTCTTCGCCCCCTCCGTATTCCCCACAAACTGCCTCCCCTCCCCCTCCCCTGCCTCCACCTTCTTCCGCTCCGTCGCCTCCTTCTCCCCCTCACTCATCTCCTCCCACGCCTTGCGCGGCAGATACCGCTTCCGCGCCCCGCCGTCCGCCGCGGTCGCGTCCGTCTTGGCCGTCCCCGACCCTTCCTTGGTCACCCAGTCCTCCGCGCCCCACTGCGACAGGCTCCGCTGGGATTGCGACTGCTCGTCCTTCGAGGTCGTGTAGTCCCCGCCCCGGGATTTGTATTCTTGGGCGGTGAGTTGGGCCTTGTGGTTTTGGGGGCGTTAGTTCTGGGCTGGGGGGTGGCAGGAGAGGGGACAGGTGGAGGGAGAGGGCGCGCTGAATGGTGGTGAAGGGGGAGGGGGGGGGGGACGGCAAATGGGCAAACGGGACAGGTGTCTACTGTACCTTCCGCGCGGACCATTGGCCGGGCTTCCCGCCCTTGTCGCCTTGTTGCACCTCCTCTTTGACCTCCTGGCGGAGCTCGGGGTCGGTGTAGTTGTTATTGTTGTTGTTGCTTTTGGAGGGCATTTTGATGCGGCTTATGTCAAGGAATCTGCAAGTTGGGATTGCTCGGCAGAATGGATGAGTGAAGATCAATCGGAGCTGGGCAGGGTTCAATCACAATGAATTGAAGACCTGGATGTAAAAAATCTCCACTGGAAGAGATAGACACTATTATATAGCACTCGCATGACATCATGACCATCTCATCTGCACCGACCTCTCCTCTCTTCCAGAATGAATGAGATCATGTGGATCTGAGTCTGGAGAGACACCGTCATGGTGGGTCCTCCCGAGATCGGTCGCATTCGGCAACCCATCCGATCCGGGCTCTCGGCGCCAGATCAATGGGTCTCCAGAACTTTATTTCTCCCCGTCTAGACCCAAGGTCCATTTCTAGAACCTACATTGTGCAGTCAATGCTGGAATGCGGTATTAGAATAGCAGTCAACCAGTTCAATTATCAGGTAAATTATTCGCAATCCAGAAGCAGTCCAAGTACTCAAGCAGGGATATATCAAGCAACAACATCAAATCGTAAAATCACAACTCCTCCTCGATCTCGGCATGATGCTGGGTATCGACAAGCTCCCAGGACTTGAACTTCAAGTCCAACACATCCTCGTTGCTTTCCGCCTTGCCCCCACCAAAATTCTTCAGATTCCACTTCTCAACGCCCTCGACCCCGGTCAAGTACTCCTCGTACTCTCTGAAGACGTCCGCGTTCAATTTCTCGTATTCGGCATAGTCCTTGGGCCAGTCACCAAGACGCTCAACGGAGAGCTTGAGAAGGTGCAGGTGCTGGCGGACGTGCTCGCCACCACCCACTGTGCCGTTGTGCTCCCCGATTCCGTCTACCTCACCATAGGCTGAGCCGTCAAAGCTTCCATTGCTATCAATGCCTTCCAGTTCGGCATAATCAGGGTCACTAAACACACGGAGAATGTTTTCGTGCACAGCAGCGCTCTTCTTATAGAATCGGTTGGCAATTTCTTGACCGTTCTTCTCAGCCTGGTAGCGCTGGGCATTGCCAGTGTACAGCTGGGACAGTAATATGGACATCTCGAGGGTACTGGGATGGCGAGGTCCGTGCACACGTCGGCAGTTGTAAACAATATCCTCTGCCAGGCGAAGGGCAGCGGAGTAGTCACCGACAAAGTAACGGGCCATAATAAAGCGACGTCCCAGAGCAAGAGTAATAGAAGTCGGCCAGTTACGCTGGGCCTCACGACTGTTCCACAGGATAGTCAAGAGCCAGGCTAGGGTCCGGTAGTCCTGCTGCTCTCCGAGAAGGCCAATCAACTTGTTCAGGTGAACAAGGCTGACGCCAGCCAAGTTGATCTTCAAGCTAGTGATCACGCGGAGGGCATCCTGGATAATTGTTCCAGAGACCTGGAGCAACTTCTTCCGAGTGGCTTCGTCAGGGCGGGTCACGAGATCCCGGCCACCAATGTTCAGACCAAGAGTGAAAACAAACTTGACAATCTCAGGGGTGTGGTAGCTATCGTGAGCGATAATGTACTTGTAGGCAGCAAGAGCAAGGTCACTGGCTGTCTCCCACCGCTGGTTCTTCAGCAGCTCAACAACATGGTCATTGCTAGTGATTCCCACAGACCGGATGAAGTTCTCAGACTGGTGGGTGCTGAAGTGATCCAAAATAGACAGCACAAAGATCTTGACTTGGGAAACCTCGGTCAGCTGCGCCCGCTTGCCCTCAGTATCGATGAAGTAAGTGACAAAGTCATCGAAAACACGAGCCGCGGCAGTATGGCGCTCATGAGCTATAAGGAACTGGTAGAGACGAGCCGCTGAGACGGAGACACTGTGAAAGCTGCTCTTCGACTTGATCTCTTTTCTGAAGTCCTCAAAGTAGACATACTCGGTAGTCAAGGCAGCAAGAATCTCAGTGATAGTGGTCGACGAGCTACGGCGTAGGCTGTACTCCAGCTGAGCCAAGAAAGTCAAGCTCTGGCGCTCCTTGGAGGACAAATCAAACTGAACAGACTTGGAGTTACTGGTGTCCTTCATCACGATCTGACGGTAGATCTCTTGGGTCAGCTCGGTGGCCTTTTGAATTTGGTTCGTCGCGATGTAGCTAGAGGCAATGGTCGTGGCAGCCGCAATCAGGCGAGTGGACGAAGTCTCGGAAGACAAGATCTGCACGGTCGCCTCCTTGAGCTCCTGTACCACAGTCTGAGTCTCGTTGCGCTGAGCATGGAACTTAATCATCTCTTCCATTTTGGTCAGGGATTCTTCATGTGCCCAGCCATGGGTCTCGCGAACAGTGCTAATGCGCTTCCTCAAAACCTTGACGGCACGCTCGACCTGAGTCGATGAAAAAGACTCAGTCTTGGTCGAAGTGACAATGGCAGCCTGCTCCTCGTAAATGGCATCCAAAGTAGAGGAAATCTCCTGCAAGTCGATTTCGTCGGACTGGGTCTTCAGAAGCTCCTCATACAAACTAATAGCCTCAAGTTCATAGCGCTTTGACTCCTGGCACAATTTGGCGAGCGTCAAAGTAGCTTTGAGGGTAATTGAAGCTTTAGCGCTGAACACAGCCTTGCATTTGGTCTGATATTCAACCGTTACCTGGTGAAGTGCACTAAATTCAGTACGAACGCTGCGCAGGCAGTGGGTGTAGCGCTCGAAGAACTCATGCACAAAGGTCTGGTCCTGGAACTTGGGGCTCTGCTTGGGCTCGCTCAGAAATGTGGTGAAGATGATCTGGTAGTGTTGCAGAGCATCCGAGTAGCGGCCTTGCTTCCATAACTCGGTTGCCACTATGACAAGGGGCTCAAAGGCCTCGGGGTGGGAAGTAGGAGAGTCTTTATTCAGAATGCGGATGATCTGCTGATAGTAATCAACAAAGACGGGCCGAGGGCGAGTCAGCTCAGCCAAGATCCAGAGAATCTTGACCACCAGCGGGTTCTCAGGGCCATAGTGCTTGATATAATCATTCAGCGTCTCTTGACGAAGGTTGATGATCTTGTCAGTCTGCGAGGTGCGCTCAAACAGACGAAGCAGCTCGTTGGTGATGCGTTCTCGCAGTTTATCGTCAACCTTGCGACCCGAGCGAACAGCACGGTAGATGCGAACACGGATATCTTCTTCCTTGCTCACGCGACGGCGAGACTGGTAGCAGTGGCTAAGTCGCTCAGCCAGCTCAATGCAGCTTTCCACATGCTTCGCAGGAAGGGTGACATCTTGTAAGGAAGGAGCAAACAGAGAAGACCATACACCGTGCAAGACCTTCTTGATGACGCGAGTAGCGTCCTGCCAGCGCCGCTGCTCAACATACAAGCTAACTAAGGTCTGCGTCGCACTGAAGGAAGTCTGGTCAACGGTCGTAATTGAGGTGGATGCCTCATAGACCATTTCCTCAAGGGTAGTTTCTGAGGTTACTGTGGTGGAAGAAGAGCTGAAAGACTGCATAACCTCCTTGGAGGTTGTATGGATGCTCTGCTGAATCTCTTGGTAGGTCGAAGACTGGGTACGGTTGGTGCTCTGATAATAGTGCGAGCAGTGCTTGAACACAGTCAGAGCCAGAGTGGCCAGGCCAACAGTCTTCATTACCTTGGCCATCTCTTGGAGGTGGAAGACTGAGGTCTCCGACAATGCCATATTTGTCTGCTCGTACTCTTGCCAGACACTGGATAGAATAGATGAGGCCTCATATTCTCTCTTTTGTGTCTTCAGGAACTGGCTGTAGGCAAGAACCGATTGAATCTTACGCTCTTCAACCTGGGTGGAGTACTGAACGCGGGACTCCCGACTCAGGCGTTGCCAGATTTCAACATAGGTACGTTCTGCCAACTCAAACTTGGCCTCTGCAACGTACCTCTCGGCCTGCTTAATCAATTTTTCAAAACTCCAAGCCTCAACTTCGATCAACTGGTCATGCTCCTCAATGTCTAGCAGGAGAGTGGTGCTACCTCCAGCGGTGACCACATTACCGCCCTTCAGGTGCACATTCAGGTTTCCGTGAGTGTCACGACCTTGACTGTACTCACCACTGAGTTTCTGAATGGTAATGGTATACTCTTCGGCTTTCTTGTCTTCCTTTATCAGCTTGTAGTGCTCGATAAGCTGCTTCAAGGTGTTGATCACATTCTCGTGGGTGCTGTCGTGGTGGTGCTTGTAGCACTCGATCAGAACTAAAAGTACCTCCTCCCTCTTGGCCATGATCTCTGTCTTGGTACTAGTGACTCTCTCAGTGGTGACCTCAAGGAAGGTGGCAGCCATTTTCATAGTAACCAGGTGGCGAATGGTGAGCAAACTGCGACTAATGATCGTTGCCTCGTAGAAAAGAGGAATAGACTCGGGAATATAGTCGAGCTGGCGGTACAGGAATGCCAGGGTGATTATCACCTGTAAGGTCACCACATGATTATTGGTCAGGATCTGACGGCACACGTTGGTAACGGTGGTCGTGAATGCCAACAACTCCGGAGTCGGTCGGTTCTCCCAGAGTGTGTTCTGTAAAAGGAATACCGTGATGGAAGACGGGAACAGCTTTGCAAATTCCTTGGCAGCGGGAACTTCGCCATTGTTGACAAAGACATTCGTTTGCCTGAAATGCGTGATCCAGTAACGAATTGAAAACTCAAGCAATGGGTGCTTGTTGATGAGAGGATTGACGTCATGCCAGTCAAGGGGTGTAAGGGAAGGCTCATGCGGTTGAGTGACAGTAGCCTTGATATAGACCAAGAGTCTGGTAACAAGATCGGCATGGCGATCCTTGATAGCCGGTACCAATTTGCCTTTCGAAAATATGTCCAAGATAGCAGTGCGGATGAGGCTGTGGCGTAGAAAGACCTGACCTTCTTGCAGGAACACCAGGGAGTTTACTGGATGAAGGACTCGGAGAGGCTCCTCAGTATATTCGGTAATGGTCTGCTTCTCTGGGTGAATGGAGGCAAGAGCCTTGAGCTCCTTCACCAAGAGGGGGCGTTCGGCTGTGGCAAGCCACAGCAACATCAGTTTAGCATCTTCCCGAGTTTGCGCCTGCGGCAGTTCGTTCAGGATCTGCAAGACCAAATCGGTAATGGTTGGCTTTGCGTTTACAAGCGCATCAACGGCCTTGCGCAGGTTATCCGCATTGTCCACATCGCGAACACGCTTACTGGCAAGCTTGGCCCAGAGAAATGAGCCCTTTGAAGCACTGGTAAGTTGGCTAACCAGAAAGGACTGCCCCATTTCATCAAGGCTGTCATAGGCATCTGACTTCTCAAACTGG